TATGAAAGACATCAGCGGCGCATTTAAGTGGCTCTCTACGACATGGAAGTGTTTGTCATATGGAGTAGATCAGTTTGCACTGTACTCCACCACTTTTGCATAGCCTTAAGTAGGATATGTGAGCATGCCGGTAGTACTGGACGAAAGAGGGGAGGGGGGATTGTGCGAAATAAACCGGGAAAGCTAACCATTTCTATGGCACTGTTAGCGTCATTTTCACCTGCTTTCGGTATCATAGCAAAATTCTCTTCCTCCAAAAGTCCAACAACTTCCAAAGGGTTTTCAGCCGTCGGACATTGACTTGCTTCATTATAAGCAATGTCCTCTGCCTCGCACAAGTTCCTGTAAATCTGTTTCAAATTATGATGATTGTCCTTTCTTTTCGAATTCTTTTCGAATCACCAGCTGCATCATCGCTCCTGCCTGTGGCAAAAGTGAACCATCATACTTTTTCACCTTACCGAGTGCAAGATCTGACCTAAAGTGTGTGATCATCATTTGTTCCTAGTTATTGAAAAAAGTCTCGTTAGCTTACCTATAGCTGTTATGTAGTGTAAAATGTTGCGAATATCGTCAGTCATTCCATCTTTATGTAAATAAATTTCTGCTTCTAAATTGTTCAGTCAATTAGCTAAGCAATTGAAACGGAATACGAAACGTACGAGAGGTTTGTGATGCACTTGCAATTATGTGAGCATCTAAAAATGTCAACCGCTTTAGACGATGACTAATAATGTTAGGCTACTTTATTTTCAAAATGTTGCTAAACCAATATTTGAGGATTGTTTGGAGGCAATTGAAAACTGTGTGACTGGATACGTACAGCGATTGGAAAACTTATTTGAGCCATGGGACAAGCGGGAGCTATGACTTGCAGCTGTGAAATTCAAATTTCAAGCGCGTTTTCAAACTACTCTTTCCAATCGGACCAGTAGATTTTGTTACTTGAGGACTTTACTTGTTACTCGAGACCAGGTGCTGATTGCTGCTTTAATACGATCTGTAATACGGTTTTCATACATTTTGTTTAGAGGGAGGAAACAAACAACTAAGCCATTACGGTTTTCTGCTAAAAATCATTTTACTTATCGTCGAATGCCAAGAATCCGTATGGTTTGGACATTTCTAAAGTATAAAAAGCATTGTACTGTTGCCGAAACTCACTTACCAGAAGAGAAGTAAAGCCGATGGTCATCATTGTATTATTGCTTGGCTGTTTTCTGCTCACTTCGTTACTCTTTTATAGGGACATTAGAGAGTTGGGCTTCGCTGTTTTTTACGATTTTTCCTCATCGCATAGATTTGGTTGGTTTAGACTGCATAGCTGTCCTTTTTTATAATATAAGTTGCCGGAGTTGTTATCATCACTGACTGTCATGAGCCGAATTTCAAAGCTCATAATCCTTTGTTTTTCTTGGAGTTTTATTAAACTTATCCAAATCTCAACAATTCCTGGTACGTCTGTGTTAGTCTTTATTTTGTTAAACCTCTTTGAACTATTGAGAGATAGACTTAGCAAGTGACTGTCATCATCTGACTGGCACTAGCCTTCACCTTCAGAATGTTTGGACTTGATCTCGATAAGGTATCTCGGTATATAAGGTATCGTATATGATGTCTTGTAAAATCCTATCCATAATGCCAATATCCAGAATTCATGCCCGATATGGAAGCAGAACAGTTTCGAACATTACACTTATTGTGGCCAACTGCCGAAAGTAGACCCAAACAACTGTAAAACCATCAATCCTTGCTGAAATGTCTTGAAATCTATGCATACAAGCTTTACGAATTTTGGAAAATTTTTCTGTTTTTCGCATTTCAATTTTTCAGTGTAAGCGAAATTTCTAAAGTAGCTTCTATGCACTAATAACACTGGTGGTCGATTGTCATATAGAACACTGAACATCGCGGTAGCTGCTCAGGAGGCTAAACCACAGATTTGAATATTCACTTCATTCTGATGTATGTAGTTTAAAATGGTCCGGTCGTCAACATGTAAATTGGTCGTGAGACAGACTTTATGCGTTTGCGTCAACTTGGAAAGTTACGTGCCTATGTATTTGAGACCCGTGCACGTGCAATCTGTAGACATGTGGCAAATCTCTAAGTTGTGTGGATGTAGCGATTTGACGGAATAGTCGTAAGCAGGGCCCGGCACGAGCTTGTCAAAAGGGGTTTTCGAAAACGAATTCCCCTTTGACCCCAAAATTTTTTACGAATTCCCCTTTGACCCAAAAACTGATCCTGTGTTTGTGCTCCATGACAGAATGTATGTGGTAGGGAGCAGATGGACAGAACCATCAACGAAATTTTTACAAGTTTCAATTTTGATTTCAGTCTTTAACGAAGGTGAGGAGATGCAAACACAAGTTCCTTGACGATACGAAACACTGTTGTCACAATGTATAGCGAACTATTGCGCGCAATACGGAGCGACTATTGCGCTTGCTTAAAGTGAAAAAGTTCTACCGAATCTCAAGAGCCCCATAGCGTAAACCTATTATAGTAACCTTTGCCTTTAACCGTCCTCTAGTGGACGAGATTTGTACAGGATAAGGTTGGTGTACTAGCACAATTACCAAAAGCTGTTCAGATGACGTTGTCATTGCTTCAGCGATTTAAATCCTCAAGCGTCTCGCTCGCCTTGGGCGCGTCCATTCGTGCCATACAAATTTTTGCGAACGCGGCCCAAGGCGAGCGAAAAAGCTCGAGGATCCAAGCCGCCGAAGCAGTGACGATGTCAGAAACAGTCCCGGGCTTCCGCGAACAGGCTGCAAGATTGAAGATTGCATTCGACTATCAAAGTTGTTGCGAAAATGATACATAAGAAGAATAGGATTCAAAACAAACTGAACATATGTACTTTTATTTCAACTAATTTCGATTCAAAAAATTACTTGTTTTCAACGTTCAATCAAAATTTGAGCATAAAAAACCTTGTCAACCAGATAAATGGCAAGCCTATACTTCTTCTCTGCTAGTTAGCTTCCTCGTTGCCACTTAGTTGCCTGAATTGAAACTCACCACACTGATGTTGAGATATCGTTTGAAAACAGCAAAAAAAAGGCTCACCGCTTTTGATTTCACCGTTGTCTCCTCCTCTTTCTATATGTCCTCCTCTCTGTTCAAGCTTTTTTCCTCCACTGGCATCCTGTTTCCCCGAAAATTTTGTTATTTATCAAAAGCACAAACGAGTCTTCAAGACGTACTTTAGCAGCCCTCTCATAGAATAGCTTGGATTTTCATGCTCACTATTTCACCATAATTAAAGCTAACCGTGGACAAAGGCGAATGCACATGTGAAATTCTTGCATGCGAACGCGTCGCACGCGCTCACTGCCTGCTATCATTTGCATCTCAACCGCTTTCGTGCAGGAATAGCCCATACATGTCAAAATCACTATAAGATCGAACTTGTAAATCAAAAACTGTGCAAAGCTTCAAGACCGAGAACAGTTTAAGATGACTTTACATTTCCTAAATCGCGCAAATTGGAGCTAGTCGACCGCTTTAATGGAAATGACAGCGCCGATTTTAGAGCTGCTCCCCGTGCAGACAGGGTTTCGTGATACGGACCCCAAAAAGCAAGCAATCACGCTCGCTAACAGAGACTGACGTAAGATGTTTCAAGAGCAAAAGACGAACTCAAAAAAAGAAGAAGTGAGAGTGAAACTATTGACGCACTTCTTCCTTCTAATGCAAAATCAGAAACCAGAATGAAATTAGGAAAACGCTAAAAGAACTCACCGGCATGTGCGACGAGACCGCAAAATTTCGATTATTCAGCAATGGAAGTACATCATCAGGTAGATAGCACATGAATTGATGGGGAAGCAAAGATGATTTGAACAGAACTTCGGTATTTAAACTAAAGATACTAATTAGAAGCCAAATTAAAGGGATACAGTCTAGAAAATGGACGCTTACCTGCGGTTGATATATTAGGACATGAGGCATAGAATGATGCGTACAAGCAGAAGTAGGTTGGGGAATTGAAGCCGATGAGTTGGAAAGCTTCGTAGCGAGCTAAAAAGTGTCGAAAAGAGATTTGGGGAAAAATTCTGATGGCAGAAACTGTATAGACAGATGAATCAAAAACGACTGAGAAGTGAACATTAAGATTAGTGAAAGTGGCATACCTCATATGTTTTGTATCAAACAAGAGGGAGGAACAATGATGTGATGAGAGAAGATTGGACCAACAATCTGCAAAGTTCACGTGATGACATTGCGATTAACTGTAATTTGCGCTTTTTATGTCTCACCTCAGGAAATAGCTGCTGAAAAATGACTTGATGAGCTTGAATTCTATGCTGGCCGTCATGGGTAATAACCAAGATAGATTAGCATCGGTTCGCAACGATGAGCATGGTGTACAGTGCTTAGATGAGCTAAAATCCAACTAAAAGTTACCCCACCCGGCTTGCCCACTCTCTAAAAACGCAGTATCTCTATATTTGCAGGCTAGAGATGTTATTCCATAATTCCAGGCTCAATAAAAAACGAGTACAAAAGGAAGAATTATGGAAATCGCAATTTTCCATACAAAGTACTTGCAATTAATCGCTCGCAAAAACGACGTCGCGTCTGATTAACAGTGCGCATGTTTAGAAAGACAGCAAAGTGCTGGACAGATGAAAAGCGTTTGCGAGAGACTCCGAGTGTCCATCAAATGTGTCTGCCTGTACAAATCTGTACAACACACCTCATTCTACCGACGCCGACGTTTGTGCAAAACGTTCAAGACGCGGCAAAGGCGGCTTTCATACTGATCCGGAAGTTCGGAAACAGTTCCAGCACAGATTTTAGCGCTGTGCTGGAACTGTTCCCGAACTTCCGGATTAGTATGAGCGCAGCCAAAATGACAAAGCGGTAAAATGCAAACACTTGTAGCAGAAGATTTGTGAAACATAGAGAAAAAAGATTTGAAACCATGAAAATTACGTGCCCTTGAGCGGACAACTGACATATCAACTGACCTCATAGATAAGAGTTTTTCAAGATGTAGTTGCATAACCAAGCAACGACCTCTGATGAAGATTCGCGTACGGCGAGCCGAACGGTGAACGAACAGAAAAGGCTTCCAGACAACTTTCGACGGAAATCTCGTGGCAAAAAACGATTGGCTGCAAATAACTAAAAAGGGGTTTATGTCATTATTTGGCGAAGAAAACACCGGATGAAGTAGCGAAAAAATATTCTGATCATGACTGTTAAGTAAATACATATGCGAAGCGATCCATATGTTCAGAAAAGCTTGGAAACACACACCGAAGATAAGTAACATATTTTCTGGCTTACATGTTTCGAATGGTTAACGTTTTCGTCCTAATCCGCTGCGATTTGTCTAACTGACCGGATCCTTCGACAGTCTTGGCACCCCAACAGCTTGCTTTTTCATTCATGTCACCCTAATACAAGAAATATGCGCGAAGATAAGTATTAGAAGTGCGAAAATGGCAAAAACGAATGAGTGAGGCGAGGGGAACGAAAAAAATCAAAGCAATGTTGATTATAGGACTCAGCGACGCCGATCGATTGGAGCGCGCTTTCCTCCTTAGGAAACGGGGCCGCTGAGGCTATTTTTGCCTCTAGCAATGAGGAGAGGAGGAGGTTTGAAACCAAATTCTCAGTATATACTAATCTTTAGGCGTTGAGTAGATTTATGTAAAAATTTTGAAAAAATTATGTGAATTGAGAGTTTTGCCAAGCTCAGCTTGTCATTAGCTTGTCAAATGACAAGCTAATTTGGAAATAAGTTGGGGAAACTCTTCATTCACATAAGTTTTCCATAATTTTTCATACTTTGTTACTTAGTCCTACTGCGCATATACACACCGAATCCCGCGCGATTTCGTCGCCTCTGCGTTGCAAACGAGCCATTTTTCCATTTCTTTGGTAGCAGGAAATTTTCAGAAAAAATTTGCCACAAGCTTCAGTCACATAATTTTTCAATGAAACTCCTAAGTTAGCTCCTACAGGCTTGTGTCCACGTGCGTGCCAAGTTTCATACCATATCGTCATCTGCGCGTTGCAAACGAGCCATTTGAATTTACAACTTCATTTACCAATTTTGCAAAATCTTTGGAAAAAATGCTTATTACTCGTCCCGTTCACATAAGTTTTTCATAATTTTTCATACTTTGTTTCCACTAGCCTCTCTCCGTTCGCCTACAAAATCTGGTGTCATACCGTGACGCGTACATTGAAAACTAGTCATATGTGCCGTTACAAATAGCTCGTTTGAGCGACGTCGCGCGTGCGGCAATTAGCGACGGCGCGGTTTGACGCGCGCGAACTCCAGTCTTCGCATGTTGAGGCACATAACATGTTAAAATAAGCAGAGAACGTGCACTACCAATTTTTTTCCGGGGCTCCGCCCCGGACCGCGCAAAAACGATTTCCCCTTTGCTTTTTTTGCCGAAAACGATTTCCAGCTTGTCATTTGACAAGCTCGTGCCGAGCCCTGGTCGTAAGTTGTCTTAAGGCCCAAGAGCGTCACTATATTCGTCATTATTTACAGGCCGTCTAATGGCAACAGCGGTGCAGCCGCAATGCGCGCGCGAGCTGGCACTCAACTCAAGAATGAGGAACTTGTTTTATGGTTTTCATGCCTGTTTCTCACTCCTATAGATATTAAGGAGCCATGACTGTTATTTGTAGGCATGGCATGGCTGAAAAGCCAGCTCGAGCGTAGTGGCGTAGTTGCTCTGCGCGACCCTGTTGCTGTTAGACGCATAGTATGGTATGTTTGATCGATTCGCCTCTTGGAAAAAAATGAGCACAGTATTTTAACTTTATTGTCACGAAAAGGTGAGCAAACCCTGTATAACACCGCTAAATTTCCCACGTCACATTAATACGATGTGGTGTCAAAGCACTGCTAGCTGATTGGTGTGATGGAATGGAAAACGGAGTGAAATCTTCCCCGAGTTGCATCAAAGCCACATATTACAGGAATGGCTCCAGTTTGCTTTGCTTGTTGCGACATGTTCCTCTCCAATTATTGTTTTACGATAATTGTAAGATCTAAGCAGCTCTCCTCTGCTGCGATGTCGATTTCTTTCAAAAATTCCTATAAACTTCATGCTCCGTGAATTTGTGGCACAGGTTGCTGTAGGGTGTAGGCTCATAATCTTCCATTCCTTCCAAATGCTCTCTGATCCGAAACGCAAAGGCCTGTCTCTTTCTCCAGCTCCTTGATGGCTTCACATATTGCTTCGGTATTACGGTGTGCGATGGCTGAGGATTTTCCAAATCGTGAACGCATTTTTTCAATACTTCGGGCTCAAGCTCACATTTTGTCGCCGCTCGCCTTCGTCAAAGCCTGGCTAGGTACATAATTCCCACATAGTTTTGCTAATTCATTATTTGAGTCATGATGCGGCAAAACTGTTCCATCAAATGTCATAGCTAAGTGCGGAGATAATGAAAACTTTTTTATATATTCCTCGCCGTTAGAACGCGGAAGTGATTAAGTTCTTACCTCGCATTTTTATTCATTCCGTGTCTAACGCGGAAGCGATTGTGCTCTTGAGTGCGCTTTTTACAATAAGTATTAGGGTGAACGGTAAAAAATGGGACACCTTGAGAATAATTGCAGATTTCTCAAGGAAGAAAAGTGACTGAACTTTCCAATTTTGATGGATATTAAAATAAATTATTCTCTTTCAGATAGCACCCATATAAGGTCATTTATATGATTGATAATTTTTATACTTGCCAAAATGCAAAGTTAGTTACTTCGAGAAATTTTGAAGTTTGAGCAGTATCGGCGCAGTGAAACATGTGAGACCACCCAAAGTACCACTACTGGAGAGGGTGGTGGGACAGTCACCAAACTCACGACGGCTTGGTGGCTTTAACTCTTAATGTCAGGAGATATGCCCATTAACAGCTTCGGGAACAAAGATACGCGTTATTCAATTCTTTGCAGGTAAACACATGATTTCTAAATATCATCTGATAGAGCTTTTTACGCTCTATCCATACATATGCAGCATACCTCAGATTTTATCTATCTTCGGAAAATATAGGGCAAAACATGATTTTTTGGTTTTTTGTTGCACCAAAAATTGCTACTTTTCAGGTTTTTTCGATTTTTTTTCTGAAATTGAAAACAAATCTCAGCATTTAACATACCGTTCGAAAGAGCATGAAAAGCTCTTTCGAATGGTATGTCATTTGCTTCACGACTTTACGGTATAACAGCGCAAGATTGAGGATTGTTCAAAAAACCCTGTTCGAGTTCTTCACGGCGCCACGTGTAGGGTAGTGGAAGAGGAGCGTTAACGCGTTGTCAGAATAATAAGCGAAGGTCGCCCATGTAAGCGACGTTTAAGTTGCCGCTTACTTGCTGTTGCCCGAAACAAAAAATTCCAAAATGTAATGAAAATCAGGCTGTCCCATTTTTTACCGTTCACCCTAATACATGACCCGATGTATGGCATAATCTATAATCTTTGTATAGTCGTCCTCGCCCCACTAGTCGGTCGGTGGTCGAATTTGAATTCGAACTGGAGCAGGCCGACCGCGGCAGAGCGCGGCAGACCGCCCCTCAGCCAACCTTGCACATGAGCTTTCCTCTTGAATTCTTCATGTTTCATTGCTATCTCTCGTATTGTGGCAATGTTCTTAATTAGATTTTTGGATTTCGTACCGCTAACTGTTGTTTTTGCAATTGTGCTCGTTTGTTTTACATTTTTTTCTCCAGGTAAACCGGGAAGAAGGATGCGATTGGAGATTTTTGGATGAGTAATAGCTCTTCCGGTAAGAGAAATAGACACAAATGTGATTTGATGAGATTGTGATGATTGAGTCAAGCTTGTTTGTTGTTGTGTGTGTTTGTGTTGTATTTGCTTCGAAGAGTTAGTGGTACGAAATCTGAAAATCTGATCAAGAACATTGCCGTTATATGAGAGATAGCAAAGAAACACGAGAAAAATAAGGAAAAAGCTCGTGCAAGCGGTTGGCCGAGGGGCGGTCTGCCGCGCTCTGCCGCGGCCGGCCTGCTCCAGTTCAAACTCAAATTCGACCACCGACCGACTAATGGAGTGAGGACGACTATATTTACAGTTCCTGTCTTTTTTATTAGGTTGTCCCATAAGTCTTTTCATTTATGAGTTTTCGCTGTAATAAGTCACACACTTCTTATTCTAAATAGACATCAGGATACCATTCGATAAAGCAAAGCAAGCTCTATAATGGCGTTTATGTTTTTGCACAAGCTTTGGTCCATCTCGAGTTCTAAACCAAAATCTAAAAAGTTTCGGGTGGCCAGAAAACCAAAGAATTATATCTTCGTTCAGAAAAAATCTAACTTGGTCACGCATATACATTCTACATCAGACATATGTGCTGTTCCTGTATTTTTTTATTAGCTAGAAATCAAGAAACCGAAAACTTCCATGTTTTTACCAAAGTGATGCTGTGCTGTTCTTACACTAACAGTTGTATACTACAACCCTTAGAAGTACAATTGTAAATTTTTAGCTCTCTATATGCTCTGGTCTCTGAGAAATGTTGATTTAAGCGTGAAAAAACCCGAGTGAAAAAAGCTAAATTTGATATTTCTCGTGAACCAGAGCTTATAGAGAGCCAAAAATCTCCGGTAGTACTTCTAAGGGCTTCTAGTATGTAAATATTAGTGCAAGAACAGCACAGCATCACTTTGGTAAAAACGTGGAAATTTTCGGTCAGGGCCCGGCACGAGGTGGGCAGACGGGGTTTTCCAAAACGAATTCCCCTTTGACCCCAATAGTTTTTACGAATACCTCCTTGAGCCCAAAAATGACGCTTTGTGCTTGTGGAACGAGAGCACCGACCACACTTCGCCTAAAAGCGCTCAAAAGCGCCCAAAATGCTCAATATAGAAAACAGGAAGAAGAATAAGCAAGGAAAATGATGAAGGAATGAAAAAATATCAAAGGAACGCAGTCACAGAACTGAGAGACGCCGTTCCCGCGCGTATCGATTGACTGGAGCGCGCTTTCCATCTTAGAAAGCTAGGCTGCTGATGCGAGTTTGGGCTCTTACAAAGACAAGAGGAGGAGTTTCGGAACCAAAATCTCACCATATAGGAAACTTTAGGTGAACAACAGATTTATGTAAAAATTTTGGAAAAATTACGTGAATTGAAAGTTTTGCCGACCTCAGGTGGGCATTAGGTGGGCAAATGCCCACCTAATTTGGAAAAAAGTTAAGCACGCTCTTCATTTACATAAGTTTTCCATAATTTTTCATACATTGTTCCTTAGTCCTACTGCGCGTATACACACCAAGTCTCGCGCGATTTCGTTTTCTCTGCGCTGCAAACGAGCCATTTTTCCATTTTCTTGATGGTGGGAAATTTTCAGAAAAAAGCTTGCCACAACCTTCATTCACATAACTTTTCAATAAATCTTCTAAGATAAGCCCTGCAGGCCCGTGTTCATGTACCTACCAAGTTTCATACCGTATGGTCATCTATGCGCTGCAAACGAGCGATTTGAATTCACATTTTCATTTACCAGTTTTGCAAAATTTTTGGAAAAAATGCTTATTACACCTCCCATTCACATAACTTTTTCATAACATTTCATGCTTTGTTTCTACTAGCCTCTCTTTGTTCGCCTACGTAATTTGGTGCTATATCATTACGCCTGCATTGAGAACTGATCATGTAATCATGCTGTTCAACGGCATCGCTCATGCGACGTCGCGCACGCGGCAACTAGCGGCAACGCGGCGTAGTGCGCGCGAAGTCTGCTGCTGTGCGTTGAGGTTTACGACTGTATAAGGTAAGCATGATTCGACCTTCCTTTGCTTGCACTTGGAATCTTCCCGGGGCTCCGCCCCGGCCCCTGCAAAAACGATATCCCCTTTGCTTTTTGGCCCCAAAACGATTTCCAGCTTGTCATTTGCCCACCTCGTGCCGGGCCTGTTTTCGGTTTCTTGATTTCTAGCTGATAAAAAATACAGCAACAGCACATATGAATGTCTGATGTAGAATGTATATGCGTGAGCAAGTTAGAGATTTGTAGGATTTTTTTGAACGAAGATATAAAAAGTTTCGGTTTCCTGGCCATCCGAAACTTTTCAGATTTTGGTTTAGAACTCCAGATGGACCAAAGCTTGTGCAAAAACATAAACGCCATCTTATAGAGCTTGCTTTGCTCTACCGAACGGTATCCTGATATCTATTTAGAATAAGAAGTGTGTGACTTATTATAGAGAAAACTCAAAAACGAAAAGACTTATGGGACAACCTATATATGAAGGCCGACTCAAAACTTTTTTTATCAGAACCACAAATGCAAGAGCTTGACGCCAAAGCAATGCGTTCTGCTTCGCGACTTGATTAAAACTACTAAAGTTTTCAAACTATAGATAAAGCAGTTATCAGTCCTTAACTTTCACTATACCTCTTCAAGCCAAGTTTTTCTCTAGGGTGCGCTTTTTCTCGTCGACGCAAAACCTGAACGATAGCGAAAAGAGACAATGAACTGTCAAGACTTGCCTCTTATCTCGATTAATCCGTTTCATTACGACGATTTTCGCGATCAGCACGATGCGGTCAGCCGTGTCATTAGCCGCTATCACCTTATCATTGAGCATAGTAGGTGGGTTCGCTTTGACAATCGCGATTGTCCATACTTTCACCTGTCTTGTTGTGCATTTAATTAGAGCTAAATTTGTATGAACTCAAAAAATAGCTAGTTCGCTATGAAATCAAGGTCACAGACTTCGTTACAACTCGTTAATCTCTGCCTTTTCAACTCGTTTCTATTTGGAATTGCCGTAGGAAAAATAATCTTCAAAAAGTTTGGGAAGAAGTTTATATCATAATGTTGTTACTAACAAAATAACGTTTATGTAGGTTATGACAACGATATCTGAATTTCTACTTTTCTGTAAATTAAAGTTTCTAGTAAGTTTCTAGTTTCTAGTTTCCGAGTAAGCAAGGTCTCGCTAAAGGCTTAGAAATCTTCTGATTGCTACTAAATGAAAGCACAAAACGGAATTTACCGACTCAATGAATCACACATGAACGTGTATGTTTTTAAACTATGGTAGATTACGATAAATCGATTCTATTCCCAAACTAAGACATTATGCTTGTTTCACACTATGAATAGAAAGCTAAACTTGAATAAAAACTGAATTCAAGGTCAAACTCTTTTCGAAAATAAACGCCACTTTCCATCCCGATCAAATTTCACAAATGCACAATTTTTGCAATTTTTGCGATTTTTGCTTCAAGTTAGAAATACTGAATCGCTTCAAAATCAATTGAAAATGTGATTTTGTCTGTCTTGGCCTTTAGTAAACCCACATAGGCTCCTTTCCACTTCTTTTTTTTAACCAAAATGAAATTCTTATAATTTCGTGTCATTTCTTATACTCCATTCAGCAAGCGCACAGTATGCTCGATTCCGACGACAAGCTTATCCGCCCAATCCAGCACCTTTCCAACCACGTGTCGAAGACTACAACCTACCTCCATTTTACCAGGTTGTTGCTTAGCTTCTACTGATCTTCCCCCGCCTTTGTTGCCCCTTTTACGAGAATTTTTTTAGCCGCATCCGGGCAGGGACGCCTCTTCGTTGACGCCAATATTCCCATTCACCAGTGAATTTAACAATGGTCTGGATGTGAATCCTGGCACGAGGGTTACGGTAGATGGAAATGTCAATGTACCCATACTTGGATGGGGAATTTGGGATTATAAAGGTGAGTTTTCAGCTCTAAACTCTTTATTCTTGAAACTGAATCAATTTTTTGGTTAAGGCGGAATAAAAGTTGGACGGGCAAATACCAGAGTCGGCTTTGGCTCTTTACAAAGGCCTACAAATGTTCTTGGTATTAGCCCTGATACTTTAGCTACCTTGGCTAAGGATGGAAATTTCAATCAAGCACGAGGTGAGCTCATTCCCAAGGTTTTTTCTTCCCAATACCCAACCTTTTTTTAGAAAACGTTCCATCAATACCGGTTTCGGTCCTACCAGGAAACTTTGTGCCTTTACGTTGTAAACCCCCATTCTGTAATCCATTCGTACACAACACCGCTTTCGGTGTTGATGTAGAGCCAGGAGATGACTACCTCTTCGATGGCGGAGTCGATTTCCCAATCCCACTTGGACCTTCCGGTGTGGGTGTAAGATTCCCACTCAGTGGTAAGTCGATCTTCAGCTTAGTGGACTTTTACAAAATCCTTTACTCCTTTTTCTCTTCCAGGTGCTGTCAATGTTGGTACCGACCCACTGCTGATCACTTATGGTCATGGTATGGGCCCTGTCGAGCCGCCTGGATTCCGTTCGAAAAAGTCAAAATCTGGAGAAAACTGATTTCGAGTCTCTTCAAGGATTCTTTCACTAATTTGATCTACAATGCTTTAACAAATCTTGTGCAATAATTAAATAAAAATCTACAACTTTCAGTTGATTTCCTTATTTAGTTGACTCCTGTGCTGTAGAAATAAAATCCTATATAGTCAACCGAAAAAGCTTTTTCTAAAAGCTTTGTACTCCTCTTGCCGTTTTTCTTCCCCAAATCCATATAATCTTTCAAATCAAAGCATTTACAATTCTAAAGCGAAGAAAAGTCAGAAAATGATCACGGCTAACGAATTAAAATAAATAATAATAATAAAGAATAAAGAGCTAAATAACTGTTAAAGGCAGCGTACACCCAAAATTTCACCTTCGATGTTTTTCTCATCCTGGGGCCTTTCCGTGCTCCTGATTCCAGTTATGACATCAAAATTCTCCAACCCCCCCCCCCCCCCAAAAAAAAACCCTGATTGCCGGGGACCCTCTCTCCAGAGGGCGGACGAGTTTCGAACTGCTCGGCCTGCAACAGCAGATGCAACTGCAACTTCGACTGCAACTGCAACTTACGCTGCCGTGGATTCGTCCGGAGGAGGCGGAGTGAAAGAAAATTCAGACGGGTTTTCTCCGCTCAGAAGCAACATTGGGAGACCGGACCAACGCAGTTGGTCTTCTTCTGTGCCCTGTATATACACGGTATAGAGAACTGGGTAACTTAACTTTTGGGTGTACGCTGCCTTCAAGATTTCCTGTTGATAAAAAGAGTGTAAGTGTTAGCAGTCTTACAAATTACGAAAATAGTAAATTTTTACACTGTCAAACCCTTAAACTTTCGAAATAACCAAACAGTGTTAATACAGAGTCCACTGGCACTTGTAGGAAGACTTTCTTGAAGATAAAATGACTGACATCGGTAGTTCAATGATTTCATCGAGTTCAGCTAGATATCAGTTTCCTTCTCCATAGCCAGCGCTGATATAGATATGAAACAGACAAAGTCCAAACGTATCACGAGGTGAAAGTGACGGCGATCCGTCCACAATGCACTTTCTTCCGCTGCTTTCGTTCTCTGTTGTATCCGGTATGTTCTTAGGCTTCATATTTTGTAGATAGTTCAAATTTATGCTTTGTGTTATGTATCATAGCTCTTAGCTAATGATATTGCTCTATCAAATTAGCCCAATTACACATTGTTCCATGAGTTTAAACTTTAGGTACCGCAATCGAAAAGGAAAGTTGTACAATAAAAATTGCGTCCTGTATGCTTTTGAGAGTTTACATTTTAAAAGTAGGTTACGTGAGTTAGAAAATGTGTGAATTTTTTATATGCATAACTGAAAACTTTGTGGAATTTTTTAGAAGTGGGGCCAATTGCTGCCCACGCCCGCTTTTCAAAAACTGTAGTTATGGGCCCGCAAAAATTTTGGAAGAATCCGAAAAAAATTTGTCGGAGTGCGTGGCTCTCCACGAAATTTCAATCGGAAATTTCGTACCCCCCCCCCTCCTAGACAGAAGTCCTGGGACAGCTGATCCAAATGAATAAAAGTCTTGCAAAAATTCTGAAAAAGTTTGAAAAAAATTCAAAGAGAATTTCCAATTTGCTGTCATATTCATTCCCTGATGTATGATGCGTTGTAGTTCAACCTACATATTGCCGACGATAAGCTTTACTTAGAGAATTGCTAGGATGGTCTCATTTCGAGATTTATCACCTCATCAATGACTCGTTTTTAGTTTACTGCCAACAATATGGTGGCGATGAACCGTTGGTCGTGCCTGTGCAGGGACCACTAGCACAGTTTCCGGCGTTAGTGACTGCCGACAATTTCCCTCTCTTTCCATTTACTGATCAGTTCAGTACCGGTATCGAAATCAATCCGGCTAATAAAGTGGTAGGTCACTATAATCAGATCATTTCTCGCGTTACAAGAGAAATGATTTTTTTTAGTCCATTGCTGGAGATCTGAACATTCCCGTACCTGGCTGGGGAAATTTTGATGTTGATGGAAATGTATATTTTGGAAATGTAAATGTGGACACTAAGGTTGGATATCAGATACGACCGACAAACAAACTAAATATCAAACCTGAAACGCTAGCATTGCTTGGGCAAAATCCAGAATTTCGAGAGGCTCGCAGTAAGTTGATTTTCTCAAAATTTCTAGGTAAAATTCTCTTGAAAATTGCGATGTATACATTATTTTAGAGAAAGCCAAAGAAGTTGTCGTTGGTAGGATACCGTATGGTTACGAGCCGATTAAGTGTAAACCACCATATTGTAATCCATTTGTGCACCATACTGGAGTTGCTGTTGAAGTTGAACAAGGTTTCGAAATTTCTTCTGCGAAAAATAGCACCAAAAATAAATTTGAAGCTGAAAGAATACGCAAAAATATGAATCTGCTAGCTCCATCAGTCAGAAATTTCTCAAAAAGACCTACAAAGACAAAGCTTGAGGAAGATATTTGATGAAAACTAACTAAACTAAGAATGCAAGAAAAGAACAAGAATACGCGTCAAACAATAGTTTTGCTAAGAGAAATGGCACTATTTTTGGACATTTTCACAGATAATAAACTTTTCTGAATATGATGATTCAATTTTGGAAAATGAATCAAAAGCACCATGATATTTGCAAACTCCTCTTGTTTGTTTATCGATTATATTTACGCGCTCTAATTTCAGTTAGAAAATTATGTCTCGTTTCAGGTGATGACAGTTTCTTCATTGGTGGTATTGACTTCCCTCTACCAATCGGACCATATGGTTCCGGTGTACGATTCCCGCTTTCTGGTGCTGTAGAAGCGGTGAGTGCAAGTTCAATGTTATTTAAAAGTTTTCCAAACAAGATTTTTTGACTTATAGGGAACTTCGCCCTATGCCTATGCTCATGGCCATGCATTTAATCCTGTCTCACCATTCGATCTACAAGCACTAAATGATGACGATGTCACACAAGTTGTTCTTAGAATAAGAGGTCATGGTTCTAAATTAAAGTGATTTTGCACTTCTTTCAGGTCGGCAATCGAAGGCCTATTCGGCGAAGTCCTGCAAAGAAAATAAATAAAGAGGAGTTCTATAAGAAGTTTTATGACAAATTACCACAATAGAATTTGTGAAAGATTGTATTCAATACATAATAATAATTGTATACATAGTTTAGCTGTATTTAATAAAGTATTTACCGGTCACACTAACAAGTACCTCAGAAACTTGTTCCTTATTCGTTAGATTATTGTTGTCAGAAAAAAAGGACAAGATAACGGAAGGTAAAAAAGCTTTTAAAGTTTTTTGGTATATCCTCAACGGAAAGTGTTTTTATACCATTACAATAGGCTACCATAAGCCTGCGTAAAAAATTGATAGGTAATTGACCATGAGATGTAAAATCTAATCTCTCGCAACAGAGATAAATTTCTAGCTCTTACAGAGAAAAGCAGATTAGGAAAACTTACAGCAATCTCCTGTAAATGTGAGTTAAAGAATATGTAACCTTGTAGATGATATCGGTAAGAAGTTTCCTCTTCCTTAAATCTCCGTCTTGTTGAATTAGTGCGTTATGGTTGATAATGGTTTTCCTTAAGCAAACAGCAACTTTTGAGCTCAAAGCATACCCTCGATACATAGAGCCACGTACTCTGGTAACCTTTACTTTGAGGGCTATGAGGGGACACAACCTTCACCTGGAAAAAACAGAAGTCATCCGAGGCTTCGCCCCGGATGTTATTATCCTGACTATATCGGAACGAATGTTAATGAAGCAAATATAAAGAATAATACCTCTAGCAGCAAAACCGAGAATTTGCTTTTTCATAGCCTTTTTACGTTAAAAAGAAGGTTTCTGTGGAATTTTCGCCAGAATTTAGGACAAAATCCCTCTATCAACCTCTCACTTGATAAAAGTCGTGTTTCAGAAGTTTAGGAAAGCTACTGGAGTTAAATAAAAACGAGAAACTGCGCTTAAATCTTACGCAGAGAGTCGCGCACGAAAACGCTGCTCTATTTCGTTAATGAATGATTTTCAAAGCTTGGAACGTTGTCAGCGCTCCTTGTCGTGTCATGCCGATCAGAATCTTATATATAAAGCTGAATGTCTGTTTGTCTGTATGTATGTATGTGTGTACGTATGTTCCGAATAGAAAATTCCATTTCTGAACCGATCCGGACCAAACTTGGCACACATACACTACGGGCCCCGGCGGGTGTCATAGGCTACTTTTCGTCATCGATCGATATCGATTTTATCGATTTTTATCGATTTTTTTGCTGAGTTCACCTACGGGGCTGGGAGTTGGCACAGGGGGGTAATCGAGCATGGGGATTCCGAATACAATATTGGTTTTCAGGATTATCGATCACTTTTATCGATTTTATCGATTTTTTTGCAAAGTTTGAGCTACGGGGCTGGGAGTTGGCACAGGGGGGTAATCGAGCATGGGGATTCCGAATACAATATTGGTTTTCAGAATTATCGATTACTTTTATCGATTTTATCGATTTTTTGCAAAGTTTGAGCTGCGGGGCTGGGAGTTCGCACAGGGGGGTAATCGAGCATGGGGATTCCGAATACAATATTGGTTTTCGGGATTATCGATTACTTTTATCGATTTTATCGATTTTTTGCAAAGTTTGAGCTAGGGGGCTGGGAGTTCGCACAGGGGGGTAATCGAGCATGCTGATCATCCCCAAGGGGGGTGATCAGCATGCTCGATTACCCCCCTGTGCAAAATCCCAGCCTCGCATGTCAAAATTTACAAAAAATCGATAAAATCAATAAAAGTAATCGATAATTCTGAAAACTAATATTGTATTCGGAATCCCCATGCTCACTTCCCCCCCTGTGCCGACTCCTAGCCCTGTAGGTGAACTCTGCAAAAAATCGATAAAAATCGGTAAAATCGACATCGATCGATAACGAAAAGTGGACTGTGACACCCGCCGGGGCCCGAAGTGTATGTGTGCCAAGTTTGGTCCGGATACGGCGGAGCCGGGTAAGCCAGCTAGTGATATATAATGTTGCAGGGTTTCGTTGAGACCCCGCGGAGATCTACGACCAGAGCCAAATGCCCCGTCGGCTCTGGTCTGTCTCCGCTGCTCGTCTGCGTCTCCGCGCGCTGCGCGCTACCTCGCTACCCCAAACGCGGGGCGCGGAGCATTTGGCTCTGGTACCCTTTTCTTTGTTGTTTCGAACCCAATTTCAACAAGCTATATATCATTTTGAAGCTCTTGATCTCTATTTTCACGCTGAGAACGTCCCAAAACCACATTTTTCAATTTGGTCGAGAAATCTGGCAAAAACCTTGTTTTCAAAAATGCCTTGTTTTTCTCCCAGTTTTACTCTTTTCACGCGGTTTTTTCGTGGAATCTATAGATATTGCTTCTGTTTATAATGCAGACAACCACCCACCCCTTACCTCTTCGATTATTGTGGAATTTTTTGCGAAAAACCGTAAAAAGTGCGTTTTTCTTTACCTTGTTCTTTTTCAGTGCTTTCGCATCGATTTTTTCCAGCTTGAACGATTGTTGCTCAGAACAATAAGCGCAACAATCCAGACAACGTCCCAGGAAACAGGAACGTCAATGCGGGGGAAAAATTTAAAGGACGCATCAAAAATCAAAACCCCGTGTTGCGAATTGCTGGTCCTGGAGCAAAAACCTGCACTCTGAAAAGACGCCAAATGAAAAATTTCAAACCTTATTAAAGCTGATGTTCTGATATTTCTTATGCCGCACAGGTTGGTATGGTGGAACTTTATTGACCTAACGTTTCGAACAACTCGTCTTCGTCGGAGGTCTGAAAAGGATTGTAGTTCATGTATCCGCTGTACTGTGCCGCCAAACATCTCGTCTGAGTCCGCTTCGCTTGACGTTTTCTCAAACGCAACGTACTGGGCACATCGAACGACGGCAAACAAACCTTCGGTCCACCAAGGAGTTAGTAGTCCGCACTAGATCAGTGTGACGAACATCACTGAGTTCTGCCCGGTGAGTCGTGCTACTTATAGTGTGCGGTATCGAGCTCACACAATGATATCAATGGCAGTAGATCACTCGTTATCGTCAGACATTCATTTCTATTGTTCATAATTGGACTACGAAAGTATATCCACGCCGCTTCAAGGGTCTTTCGTGCTAGAATATCAGTCTCAATCGCTAGGATGACACATTTGACGCTAAAATCATTGCCGCCGTGCTCTTCAACCTTATGCTTACCTAACGGAGACAATAGGTTTCCTCGCCTCATGCTCGCCAAGTGCTCGCTTACTCTAGTACTCAAGGATCTACCCGTTTATCAGAGAATGCCTCAAATGTAACATATTCAAATGGTCTGGAAATTACTATTCACAAGTCAGAGGACTCGCGATAGGCCAAAGACTTGCTCCAGTCATCGCAATATGTTACATGAGCAAGATCGAAGAACCAGTACTTGCACGATTACCGATGATGTACTGCAGATACATTGATGATTGCTGTATCGTAACTTCAACACAATCCGAAATGGATGAGTGTTTTCGAATTCTAAACCAGCAATCACCGTACATCCGGCTTACACGTGAAACACCTCGCGATGGATGGCTTTCCTTTCTGAATACACAGGTGAATTTGTCTGACAATACCGTCCGCATAAAGTGGTACAGAAAGGAAAGCTCGAGAAACATCATCTTACACGCTACGTCAGCCCACCCCTCAGCAGTCAAACATGCTATCATACGTAACATGTTCAAAACTGCTACCGAAATGTGCACAGGCGATGACGAGCGACGCGAGTCACGACAATTGGCAGCTGACATTGCACTCAGTAACGGCTATATGCTTGGAACAGGAGGTTCACGTAAAAAACAGTCTACTTGTCATAACTGTGATAGCCTTACTGAGCGCAACAAGAACAACAAGATTCCTTTGTGCATACCCTTTGTTTCCGATAGAATCAGCGAAGCCATAAGACAGTGCATCTTGCGAGCACAACTGCAAAATGAAGTCATGCTGATTGACATTCCTAGCGATAATATCAAAAGGCGGTTAGTCAGAAACAGAGCTTACGATGTTGAATGTGTATCAAAGGATTGCATAATCTGTCCTTATGGGAAAATAGGGGACTGCACTAAATCAGGAACTGTCTACCAATTGGAATGCTTGAGTTGCAGAGCAGTGTACATTGGAGAAACGGGTAGATCCTTGAGTACTAGAGTAAGCGAGCACTTGGCGAGCATGAGGCGAGGAAACCTATTGTCTCCGTTAGGTAAGCATAAGGTTGAAGAGCACGGCGGCAATGATTTTAGCGTCAAATGTGTCATCCTAGCGATTGAGACTGATATTCTAGCACGAAAGACCCTTGAAGCGGCGTGGATATACTTTCGTAGTCCAATTATGAACAATAGAAATGAATGTCTGACGATAACGAGTGATCTACTGCCATTGATATCATTGTGTGAGCTCGATACCGCACACTATAAGTAGCACGACTCACCGGGCAGAACTCAGTGATGTCCGTCACACTGATCTAGTGCGGACTACTAACTCCTTGGTGGACCGAAGGTTTGTTTGCCGTCGTTCGATGTGCCCAGTACGTTGCGTTTGAGAAAACGTCAAGCGAAGCGGACTCAGACGAGATGTTTGGCGGCACAGTACAGCGGATACATGAACTACAATCCTTTTCAGACCTCCGACGAAGACGAGTTGTTCGAAACGTTAGGTCAATAAAGTTCCACCATACCAACCTGTGCGGCATAAGAAATATCAGAACATCAACTTACAGTCGAAGATGCCCAGGTTTCAAGACGAGAACACATGGAAATTCCTTATTAAAGCGTTTTTATCCGGTTTTCAGCGATTTCTTTTCCTTTTTATACCTGTTTTCTTCATATTCTCTTCTGTGATCTTCTTCAAACAACCTTCACTATTTATGACGTCAGATGTTTGAACAACTTTCACTTTTGACGCTCTGTCTCTAGACTATCGAAGGTATGGCTCAAAGCTAAGGGTGCTGTATTTGAGTGTGAAGCCGAAGATTATGAGTAACTTATTTTTGACTCCCATCATGTTTCTTATATGGGTCAATGCGGAAATCAGCGAAATGCTCTAGCTTTTGTTTTTATCAAACGGATGCATACGAAATGAGGACAATTTCGCGCAACTCTTACCTTATTGGTAGACACTACCTATGCTTTTCTTCGCTTCGCTGCTAACTTCAATACCAGGTAGGCGATTTCAGTATATCACTTTTATTGTGCTAAATCAGTTCTTTTAGGAGCTCTATGCCAAGAAACTACTGACCGTGAGCCTCTTGTTGTGCCTATACGAGGACCTTTTGCACAGTTCCCGGCTCTGGTCACTGCCGACAAATTCCCACTTTTCCCATTTACTGAGCAATTCAACACTGGGATGGAGCTAAATCCAGCAAATAAAGTGGTACTTGCATCTATAATACTTTACATGCCGGCAGTGCTAAGGAGCCCTCGTTTCAGTCCCTTGCTGGTGATGTGAACATCCCAGTACCCGGATGGGGAAATTGGGACATGGACGGAAATCTGTACGCTGGTCATATTAACATCGATATCAAGACGGGCTATCAGACAGCTCCAAAAAATCCTCTGAACATCAAACCGGAAACGTTAGCGCTATTGGCGCAAAATCCCGAGTTCAGGGAAGCGAGAAGTGAGTATTTTGCATGCATATATGGGAATACGGGATTATGTTACAGTATTCTAGGAAAGGCTAAAGAAGTGGACGTTGGAAGAATACCTTATGGTTACGAGCCAAGCAAATGCAAGCCGCCTTATTGTAATCCGTTCGTTCATCACACTGGAGTAGCTACGGAGGTTGAACAGGGTAAGCAAAAATGTCTTTATGTATTTCGTAATGCATATCAAACTGAAGAGGTACTAAAAATGATTTTTAAACATTTTTAAAAACATATAGCCTACTATATTTGAGGGCGGATTTAGTGCTGGCGCGGTTCCAACAAATCCAAAGCGGGGCCTTGAGCGCGTCATTTTTACGTCCCACGGTTATTTTTGACGCGCATATGTTGTCCTCACCGCAGACGACGCATTACATTTGCTTTTGAAAGTTCGATTGTACCTCTCCCGAGACCGTCGAAAAATATTCAAATGAAATTCACAGATAATTTTAAATTTATTCAAGCTCCTAAATCAATTCATTAAAAAGCTAATCATTATCAAAAACGTTAAGTATCTCAACTAATTGGTACCACATATTTCAATTGTATTGTGCACAAAAAGGTGGTTACTTGTGCAATTTCCAACCCTAGAATGATTTTATTCCCTTCCACTCGTCCCAACCCTTACTATTTTTACAGGTGACGACTTCTTCTTCGTTGGTGGCATTGACTTTCCCGTCCCGTCTGGAAATGCTGGTGGTGGCGTTCGTTTTCCGTTATCTGGAGCATTCGAATATGTGAGTATCGAGCTTACTCTAATTTGGAGATTATCGTTTAGCTTCTTACAGGGTACTTCACCATATTCCTACGCTCATGGAAGCGCTTTCAATCCAGTGTCACCATTCGATTTGAAATCATTGGAAGATGATGAGTTGCCCGAATTCAACCCTAAAAAGGACTCGAAGAAGAAAACAAAAATCAATAAGAAGGAGTTTCATAAACGGTTTTATGACAAGCTTCCACATTAATAAAGTTTCAAGAAAAGTGGCCCTTCATGCAAGAGCAGCGAATGACAGGGGCATCAATGTTTTCCATAAAACTACACAATTAATGTAAGTCAAACCGTACTTTCTAAGAACAATTGCGACGATTATTAGGCTGCAACATCTTCTTTCCTGAAACCCGAAACTACAAAACTTTTCGAGCAAAGCAGAGGAGATATCCTGCATTTGGTTTATCCTATCAACTTTTATGAAAAGATCTTTCACAAGCAATACAATATTACTCGTTGACTATACTCAGACAATCAAAGGCCTTCAGCCGGTCCATAGTTGCGATAGGAGGAGTGATGGATCTTACCCCCTTCACTTTGAGGCCAAACTTCCGATGACCCCTTCACCTGGGCTGAGATTGGTATCTCTGAGAATATGATAAAAATCGTTATTAAAAGGTTTTGCAGGCTAAGCACCTCGAGCAACAAGTACACTCATAAATTTACAAAAGAAACGGTATTTATGTTTATTTATATTATTTATTTATCCTCGGTTCATTTGGAGAGCAGAAAGTGAGGACACAAAATCAGTTAATTTTTGAAGCACATAGAATCCCTCATATCTTACGGCACAGAAGACATAGAAAAAAGTCGACAGTCTACGTCGATTCTCCATGATCTCCGCTTTCGAATGGTATACAGCATGTTAGGGCCTCTTTGCTTCCCGGCTCCAAAAATCATTTGCTCCGGTAACCGATAAAAGCCAATACATTGGTGGAGCTGGGTTGGAGCAAGCTAATGGTAAATATCTCCACCCCATTTTTGAAAACTGGTTAGTTTTTTCGCCCAGCAACCTATATACCATCCGTCGACTTCTTTCTAGCCCCCCTCTACCGAGAGATACACCGCATTTTATCTGAAAACATGGTCATTTTCAACAGCAGATTTCTGCCAAATGAAGACCTAATCACTGTCGATTGCCTATCTGTGTTAAAGAGCAAGTCTTCATTAACAAACGTGGACCGTCGACTTTCTCGTAGCATTCATCTGGAGAGCAGAAAGTGAGGACACAAAATCAGTTAATTTTTGAAGCACATAAAATCCTTCATATCTCGCGGCACAGAAGACCTAGAAAAAAGTCGACGGTCTACGTCGATTCTCCATGATCTCCGCTTTCGAATGGTATACAGCATGTTAGAGCTTCTTTGCTTCACGGCTCTAAAAATCATTTGCTTCGGTGACCCATAAAAGCCAACACATTGTATAGGTCGTCCCGAAAGTTTTTGCGCACAATTTTCAAAAATTCATAACTTCTGATTTTTCCGACCGATTTGACTGCTTTCACTTTTAGGTGAAAGGTTAAGTCATGCTCTTTATAATGACATCTCAACGCTTACTAATGGTCATGTGTTGCATAGATAAGAGGGATAGAAGAAAAATGGTCAAAATTTGAATTTTTCGTGTAGGATCATGAAAAATCGGAAACTTGCAACAAAAATCGGAGCAGTCAGTATTGTAGGTTCCTTCACCAGCTCTTTATAACAGTGCAAAGTTTGCGCTGATTGAGGGTCTCTATGAAAAGTTATGATTTTCGAGCAAGCAATACAAAAGGGCGAATTTGGTTTATTTTGGCATTTTTCAGGAAAATCATAACTTTCCATAAAAACGCTTAATCGGCGCAAACTTTGCACTTTTAGAGAGAGCTGGTGAAAGAACCTACAATACTGACTGCTCCGATTTTTGTTGCAAATCTCCGATTTTTTATGAAACTACACAGAAAATTTAAATTTTGACCATTTTTCTTCTATCGCTCCTATCTATGCAACAGATGACCATTACTAAGCTCTGAGATGTCATTATAAAGAAGATGACTTACCCTTTCACATGAAAGTGAAAGCAGTCAAATCGGTTTGAAAAATCAGAAGTTATGAATTTTTGAAAATCGTGCGCAAAAACTTTCGGGACGACCCAATAAGAGCGAGGTGGAGCAAGTTAATAGTAAAAATGTGCTATGGATTGACATCGTTATCAGCACTAACGGGAACGTGAGCTAACGCATCTATTTAAGTGTGCTTATCGTTGTTGTATGTTTATGTTTTTTTGGTTAGAAATGCGCTTTTGATTGGCAGTTATGTCATCATTATTAGCACACACTCAAAAAACTATGGGAGATTGGTGAATTTCCACACCTTCACACAAAAATCCGCCCATTTCTGAAATCTATACTCTGTAAACCTAGTGCTGAAGAAGGTCACTTTCGTGAAAACGCTCTAGACTCACTTTACCTAAGTAGAGAATGGTTAGTTTCAATAAATCAAAAACTTTAAGACATTCAGAAGAATAACATGTTATTAAAATATCCCTCAATGTTCTGGAAAGGTTGGCAGTTTGGAGAGGAAACGGCAGACAGAATACTTTACTAAATCGCGGATGACTCGCATGTGTTCCAGTTCAACAGCGAGGCAGAAGAAGAACCTTACGCCGACGAAAATGTTGTCGACATTGATACAGAGTTGACAATTGAGCGAAGCTCTCTGATTTCCTACATAAGAAATCCAAGCAGATTGCCTAGTTTCAATGAGGAAATGTCCAGAAAGTCTATTGCTGATCTTCAGATTGCTGAAGATTTCAAAGCTGCTGAATTCACAAACATGGATATGAACAAAAGGAAGGTGTTAGTACAAAGCATAGCTACTGCTCTTAGATCCCGACTTTAGTGCGAATCCAACACTGTACTTTATGCTTTTGGAAGTTATTCGCCTTGTGACTTTATGACCTATGATATTGAAAAAAAACCAACGCGCAGTACCTACTTTTTTTGGCTATTCCGCAGATTTTGTTAAAGAAGAAGTTGAGCAGCTTTCTCATCAGTTAACAGGACGTATGCCAAAGGAGGTGAAGCCAGAGTTCGACAAGGCCCAAAAAAGTATGCAATATTTCCTTCTTGTGCTGCGAAAGCATATGCGATCTCGCTCTTTCCCCATTACTTACCGCAAAAATCTGATGGACTTACTAGCAAATCTGGTTTCCATTCCGACTAGCACGGCAGAGGTGGAGAAAGAAATTTTCTATCTACTCTGTTATCAGAACACATATCAGAACACAACGCAGAAGTCGTACAACGATGGAGCATCTAAGCAATTACTCAAGCAATTACTCAATTACCTTCGACTGAACATATTGTTATCTAAAAACTTTATTTAAAGGGTTGGTATAAGTGGTCCATACAGGCTGTTACCGTATGACTTTTTGAAATATCCTAAAAGATGGTATGAAGAAACTGGTCACCTACCTGTTGACTTTCCTGGTACTACCAGAGCGCCAGGAAAAAAATCACAAAAGCGCTTAGAAAAAGAAGAAAGTTTCAAATCTATTTTCGACTCAGAACGTTTTTGCACGCAATTCTACTTCTACTCCGATGACTTTTTGGAGGAAGAAGAAGATTCAGGAAGCGAACTTGTTGTCTGTGACGTTAGCGATAGTAATATTGTTGATGATGATGTGCAGGAATTGAACTTGTTCCTAACTTGTACATCTTTTGGGATAAACCTTATTGCTTTCGTTTTTTGTTGGTGCAATGAAACAGGAGCACAGATCTTCATAGAGTCAATTTTTTTAAAATTTTTAATTTCTTTCAGAATTTAAATTTTCTTCAATTTGTGCCTAAATAAGGTGCAAATTAGAGCTCTTCATACCACGCTTTTTTACCTTTTCTCTCTTCCTCCCCCCCCCTAGACTCACATACCCCCTTCACCCTGGAAGGTCGGGAACAGCCGAGACCCCGTTCATCTGGGTAGAGCCCGGATCCCCCTATCGCACCTATGAGCCGGTCCCACCAAAAGCGTCGTTGCCTTACATGGCCCGGCACGCGTTGGTTTGGAGCATTTTTGAGAACGAAGTCCCCATGATTTCGCGAAAATTTACGAAGTCTCTCTTGATGTAGAATTCAGTAGGGAAACCCTTATTCAATCAAATTAGAATAAAAAAGCGAAGAAGGCGCATTTTGAGGTATCTAATATAGCAAAAAGCAAAAAGAAAACATCTCGAGTTGACTAAAGGCTCTGTCATTGTGTATGGTAGCATTCTAGTGCTCAGAATGTCGAAAACCTCCTGGACCAAGCAAACCTGTGGCCTCACTACTGGCGATGCATTTTTCGCCACGTAGTTCAAAGACACCGCGTGTTATTGAAGCGCGATATCTACCAACGCGTTTACGCTATTTTTGGCTCAAAAAAAGAGGAGAGGCAATGGTTTGATTCGCTCTCTTCACTATATGATAGATTTTTCCGTTCTAATCGTCCGAGTCAAAAATGGCCAAACCTTATGTGAACTCTCCGATATTTATGCTCCGAACCAACCCAGTTGGTTTGGTGTTGGTCTAAAAACCAACAAATTCGGCAACGGATATTGAGATACATGGGTTTTTGAAACTTTTTGTACAACATAGTTTGGAGTAATATTGTATACACATAGCCCAAATTTGGAGCCATGCGATTGTTTATGCGCGTAAACAAGCCATTTGTTTGTTTGAGTCTTGCTTTTAAAATTCGCGCGCTTACGAAAGAACACGTTTAACTCGTACAATTTAACATCATCGTTTTTTTTTTCGGCGCTCCCACAAGACCTTATAAAAACGACATCCCCATTGCTTCACTCAAAAACGAAGTTCAGTTTGATCCAGAACCACTTTTGCCGGGCCCTGTTGCCTTGTCGCCGCCACTTTCGCTTCGCGTTGAAGACTTTATGGCAGCCCGCTCGCTGCCAGTTCTAGCAAAATTTCTCAGCGGGAAGCGAAAAGTGGCGGCGACAAGGCAAAGACGCTTTTGGTGGGGCCGGCTGAAGGCCTTTGATTGTCCGAGTAGTAGATCAGGTCATTACTTGCTCAGTCCATAAAAACTGAGATTTAATCACACTCATGTAGATACAATGCTCTTCGCATTCTTTCTTTATGACAAAACTAAGCGTCATAAGCATAGAGGTCTTTTGATCCACCAGTTGGTATACCCACGAAACGACTCCAAAACATGTATCGTCATA